AGGAAAAAACCAGGCACAGATTAACACCTCCCAGCAACAGATTTTCCCAGGCTCAGGCAGGCCTTCAAATGCTAATGAAGGTGATCAGCTGAAACATTCACACCTAACTGCAGCAGGGAAGAGCTCCTTGCCCCACCCCAGCCATTCCACAGATATATAAACCCATTGTCCTATTTCCAACAGACCTCACTACCTCTGAGGATGCTTGCCATAGATGCAGGCGAAACGTCAGGAGACATGCCTCTAGAACATGGCTCTATAGCCCGAAAAAATCCACAAGAACCTAATAATAGCTTTATTCTTACATCCCATCTCCATCTCCCTGAAGGTACTTGGAGCGGCTTGTATGGGGACAAAAACCCAATATAAACAAAGTTACAAAATAATACAATTAAAACATATAACAATCATATATATTAAAACAATAAAACCAATAAAATCTAGACATCATAAAACATAACCAAAGAGCAAGCAACCAATGGCCAAGAAAAGTTCACATTTGGGACTAATAGGGCAGGGTATCTGCTTTGAACTGGGTTATCTGAGTTTACACTCGGATAATGTGGGATGTTCTGCCTTGATATTCTGGGATACAGGGCTGTGTGGAAGGGCCCTTGGTATCTGTAGAGCCATATACTTCTCATCCTGGATATAATCAAATAAGGCTGTTGTCTGTGTTGTTTATCTGTGTCTGCTGAGTTTGCATAATTCTGTTTCATTTACAGTGCCTGTAAACCATCCCTAGGCAAACTTCAGCTCTCCAGGTGTTTTGGACTCCAACTTCCACAATTCCTAACAGCCGGTTAGGAATTATGGGAGTTGAAGTCCAAAACACCTGGAGGGCGAAAGTTTGCCCAGGCCCGCTCTAAACTGTAGACTCAATGCAGTGTGACACCACTTTAGCTGCCATGGCTCAATGCTATGGAATGCTGAGAGTTTTAGTTTGGCAAGGCACAACACTATAGTCTGAAGACCTTGTAAAACTACAACTCTCATGATACCATAGCACTGAGCCATGGCAGTTAAAGTAGTTTCAAACCGCATTCATTCTTCATCTTAGAGGCACCCTTGGTCAAAGATGTTAAGGTGAATGGAGGACACAGTTTCCAGAGACACCCCAATTTTGAAAAAACTGGTGAAATTTGAAAACCCGATCTTGACCTTAAGGGTTTATGAAATCTTGTGATGTACTCCTGTTATTTATTTTCTGAAACCTGACCTGTTGGATGTTCAGTCGTGTATATAGTCTCATTTTCAAATATTTGTGCATGGGATGGTGTTGTGCTTTTATTGTTGGGTGGATAGCGCAGAGCAAGAAGGAACACCCGCCTTTCTCCTTTTAAAGTGCTTCTCCTCTGGTAGCAACACATGGAGTATGAAGATAAGGCGCAGGGAAGGGCTGAGCTGCTGCCTTCCTCCTTGTTCTTTGTGATGGATTTGTCTTTTCCAAAGGTGAGATCAGCTCTGCCTTTGTTGAGAGGAGAACCAGGGAGCCTTCCATCACTGGCACCACTCTGCCACCCCCTCCTTTGCCACTTGGTCCCTCCCTTCCCAATAGCTGCAGCCAGGAGTATTGTGCAGCTGCCTGCCCGGTGCCTTGATTCACTTCCTTCCTAGGTTTGTACAGACAAAGTTGTGGCACAATTACTGGCCCCTTTTAGGCAATGCCTGCTTGCTAATGAAGAGGGAAGAATCTGCTGTGGACATGGAATATGTAGTCGTTGTCTCCCCTCCAAGCCACCTATAGCAATGTAAAATGGGTACAGTAAAACTGTTCACAAAACCTGTATGCTTTTAGTCTTTGAGAATGTATCTAAAATTATTATTATTATTATTATTATTACTTTTAACTTTATTTCTACTTATTCTTCCTGTGAATATTCAAGGCAGTTAACAACCATGCTATCTAATGACCATTTAAAACAAAGTGGATATAAAAATTAAAAACAATTAAATATCTATGTGTGGATATTAAGTTAAAATTACATTTAAAATGGGCCACCCTCCCCAAATCCCAGCAATAAGCAGCATTAAACCACTTATTTCCAAAAAATAATATTTTGAGTCGAATAAGCTCCCACTGTTAGCCCCAGCTTCTGCCAGCCTAGCAATTCAAAAACATGCAAATTCTGTGGAAAGGTAACAGCACTCCATGCAGTCATGCTGGCCACATGACCTTGGAGGTGCCTATGGGCAACACCAGCTTTTCTACCTAGAAATGGAGATGAGCACCACGACCCCAAAGTCGGATACGACTAGACTTAATGTCAGGGGAAATGTTTACCTTTATTTTATGTTTTTTTTTCTATATTTTTGAAACTTGGAGTCTTGTTTTCTAGACTCCTGCCCCCATTCAGTCATTTCCCCTTAGTTGAAAATGAGATTCAAAAATAAGAATTTTAAAAAGTATAACCCTTTAAAAAGTTAGAAGAATTCTAATGACCAGTCACTAAACGAATTGTTTTTTGTCTCCATAGATATTGCAAGCTTCATCAACTGCTTCTTTTTAGGAGCTTGCTTATGCTCCTCATCCAGCCTCATTTGAATAGTTAGTTATAAACGGTTTTAAGAGGAAATATGCATGACAAAGCACAGTTTTACCACACAGGTTCTTTGTTGAGTTGTTTCAGTTGTCTTCTTAACAGAAATATATGAGGGAAACTTCACATCTACATTTTAAATGTGGCAAGAGAGTTTAGTTGGTGGGATCATGGGAAAGCAGCTTTAAATCCTTGTCTTGCCATAAAGTTCAACAAGTGGTCCTCTCTCAGCATCTAGGCCAGGGCTGGTCAGCTAGGAAGGCAAGTGGGGGTATTACAGTATTTATTTATTTATTTACAGTATTTATATTCCACCTTTCTCACACTGAAGGGGACTCAGAGCAGATCACAGAACACATATACTACAAACATTTAGTGCTGTAATACACTGACAAGACAAACAGCTGTATATAATAGAGGTATACCATTTATATTTGCATATAAGCAGAGTTTTTCAGCTCTTTTTTAGGCTGAAAAAGCCCCCCTCAGCTTATGCTCAAGTCAAAGTTATTTATCATTTTACTCTGTTATTGTTATTATTACATTTATTATTTTCCTCTATTTATTATTATTATTACCTTTATGTTATTTTACTCTATTATTATTATTATTATTATTATTACATTTATTATTTTTCTTATTCTATTATAATTACATTTTTTGCTCTAATTATTAGTATTACATTTATTATTTTACTCTCTTATTACATGTATTATTTTACGCTATTATTATTACATTTATTATTTTACGCTATTATTATGTTATTATATTTCCATTATTTTATGCTATTATTATTATTATTACTATTTATTATTTTACTATCTTTTTATTATTGGAAGGATACATAAGCACATTTATATGGAAGAAGGTTAGAATAATGGTTTAATCATAGTTGAACAGTCTTATCTTTACAGTTTTATGTAAATATTAAAAAACATTTAACCTACTGATTTCTCAATGTAATTTTATTGGTATCTATTTTTATTTTGAAATTTACCAGTAGCTGCTGCATTTCCCACCCTTGGCTTATACTTAAGTCAATAGGTTTTCCCAGTTTTTTGTGGTAAAAGTAGGTGCCTCTGCTTATATTCAGGCCGGCTTATACTTGAGTATATACAGTATATAGGCTTTCCCATCTTTGGCATTTTGGAGGCTGTGCTTGGTTCCAGTTGCCCTTTGTACCCACTCTTGCAAAGAAACATCAAATCAAGTGGGGTTTTTTTGTCAAAATGCTCCTTTCCACACCCTCAATAAGATATTGTGGTGATTTTCATCATGGTCATTTTGAATGCAGAAGAGGCATTTTTAGTAATAACAAGAAGTAAGCTCAGGGTACTTCCTGCTTTTAAAAACACTTGCCTGAGATGCCTAAAACATGGTGAAAATTTGGGCAAAAACATTTTTTTGTTTTACCATAGAAATTGTGGGGTGGGGTAGGGATTGTGAAGGTGCTGTAAATGCATTTTGGAGCACTAACTATTTTTGAAAAGAAATCTGGCCCTTTAGGGGACCTTGACAGTTTCAAAAATACACATCTAGGTTGTCTTTGCCCACCTCTACGCTCCACCTTTTGATGAGTGTAAAACTATAACTGCCTTGTTCCCTTTTTGTTATTGTGAAAAGGAAAGCTACCAAAAAAATCTTGTGTAGGCAAGGGCCGTCTGGAAGGGCTCAATCAGGGCAGTGAAAAGGCCCAATTATGTGCCTTGGTTTAGCGGAAGGAGGTGACTACTCCTCTGTATCATTTTCTTTTGCTATAGTTTTTATCTCATGACGTAGCACGATAAGTAGGTGGTCCCTATAGAACTCGTATGCAACCGAGCCTGAGAGGTAGGCTGCAATGCCTGAGTGATTAACCTCAAGACCTCCTGTTATTGTTCTGAAATTGTGAATGTTACATATTCTTCTGCTTCCAGAATGCTAATTAACCATCTTTCTATTCCTTGGGTAGGAGAAGGAAAGTAGTATTCTACTTTGTTGTTTATTAATTTATGGTTGCCCTATGAGTCAGCTTTAGCACTATGTAGGAGCTTAGAATGGTTGTGTCTTGACACTTATTTTTCTAGAGCAAGTTCCTTTTCTTAGTATACACAAAGACTTGGCACTGAGTGTCTACACTCTGACAGGCACCTATAATTGCAGTATGGAAAAGAATCCTGGAGATCATATTTCAGTGCATTGTGTGTATTTATTCAGTGAAGGGTGCCCTTAACAAAGTGCTTCACCACCTCCTGACCTTTAATTTGTGATTGGAGGTGGATTGGCTTCTGAAATTCTCAGATGGACAAAGAGGGGGGAAAAACTCTGGGCCGCTTTTCCAGGCCACATTGGAATTGAATTTGATGGCTGGAAGCAGCTGGTTAAAGGTCACCATGAGGCATATCTTCTGGTCAGTTCTCTCACAGCTTTTTAGTTTTCTCACAGCTTTGCATATTTCTTTTCTTTCTATGTGTCATGCAGGTGGAGGCGGAAATCGAAAGGGCAAGAGTAAGAAATGGCGCCAAATGCTGCAGTTTCCCCATATCAGCCAGTGTGAAGATCTTCGGCATACCTTGGGTGAGGACCATGGTTATCGTGGCAGGAGGTTAAGGTCTGCCTTCTCCGTCTCGCTCTTCTAGGTGTCAGATGGCAGTGGCTTAGGTGTATATGGTGAAGCCTGGAGTGCTTGGCACAGGACCTTTACATGATGGACTTGTTCAAATCTGTGCCAGATCATCATGGATTTCATTGTGAACAATGGAGCCTGCAGTGGCACAATCGGTTAAACCCTTCTGCTGGCAGGACTGCTGACCAGAAGGTCAGCGGTTCAAAACTGGGGAGAGCGGGTTGAGCTCCCTCTGTCAGCTCCGGCTCCCCATGTAGGGACATAAGAGAAGTGTCCCACAAGAATGGTAAAACATCAAAACATCAGGTGTCCCCCTGGGCATTGTCCTTGAAGGCAGCCCATTCTCTCATACCAGAAGCAACTTGCAGTTTCTCAAGTTGCTCCTGACATGCAAAAAAAAAAAATTGTGGATGATTAATTACCCAGTGGGTATCTACAGTTTTCCTACAGTTCTTCTGAACAATTAAACTATAATAGCCACAAGTAAGCAGAAGGAGACACTTGTATCAAAGCATACCAATAAGAATTGAAGTTTTTGTTGTCTTCAGTCACAAAAATCCAATGCTTGTACTTCAGTTTGATATTAGAAAGAAACAAGTACTCGTCTAGTTTGCTCACAAGGAGCCAGAACAGCCCGCCTAGGTACAATTCAGAAAGGAATTGAGAATTCTTCCTATGTTTGTATCTTTCTGCAGTAAAAGGGGAAAGCTGGAAGCAAAAGTGATAGCTATTTTCACACTAGTGATCTTGGGAGTTTTGAAAGATTACACTATGTAACACAATTTTTGTTGCTGGGTTTTAAATGTCCTTTCCTAATTGGACTTAATGTCAGGGGGAAACCTTTACCCTGTGATCTTGAGAAACATCTGCCAGACATCATGGAGAGCACTAGCCTGCAGAGAACAGTGCTCAAACTGAGGACAAAATAGAGATAGCTTTAGTTACAGACCCTCTCAACCACACATCACAATCTTCAAAAATGCACAAGATAGAATACAGGACACATACACACAGCATTAATGCCTTAAGAGTGATGTTTACAGAAGTTATTTCAGGGTTATACATCCCATATTGAAGGTTATTTGGTCCAGGGTTTTGTTAGTTTCTTTGCTGGTTGTAAGTTCTTTACATTCTTGCTGATAAGGGGAAATCTTTTGGCAGATTATATTGATTCAATTTTAGATGAGAACTTTAAACTTCTGTGGAAATGAAAAGCCTAAAGGGAGTACCAATTAATCTCACCTCTTGATCTACTAAGTTGTGAAATGGACAACGACAGCTGAATCGACTTTTACCTTCCCTTTCCTTAGGAAAGTGACAGCAAAGTGTCCAGATTGCTATGGCTACCCAAAAGGGCCAACACTGATCAGTCACTTCCCCTTCTCCAGGCCTTAGTAACCTTCCCCTGTTTCTGTCTGTCCTTCTCTCTCCTCTCCATGTTCTTTACCCTTCTTGGAACCCAGTAACCCTTTTTCTCCTTCTTTCCACATTGCCCACACTGTTTAAGTAGTTTCTTATATTCATTCTGTGCTTCTTCAAGAGTTTCTGTCCTCTTTTTATTCTTTTGCACACATTCCAAGTTCTCCAGTTTCTACTCTCTCTTTCCCTTTCATGGTGTCTGCAGATGTAGTCACCCTAAGAGGCATAGATTGTTCAGTCCATGAGTCTTTTAGAAACATTGTCATTAGATACAAAATGCCTGGACGTCTTGGTTGGCGCATGAGCTGCAGGTGTAAACAGTCAAGCCATATCTTGTTTTTGAATCAGAGTTTGACCGCCCCAGTGTAAGGCAGTTTCATGGGTTCATGATCATCCTTTTCTTTTGCAAAGTATTCTTGGCCGCTTGCCTAGTTTGAAGCAGATGACTTATTGTTCCAGCAAAAAAAGCTTGAGCAAGCTTCTGTTGCTCTCTCTTTTTGGATAATGATTCCAGCTACTTTCTCTTTATGTTATTCTGACTCTTTCTGGGAAATATCACTTTGAGTCTTCCCTGATTCTAGAGTTATTTGAAGTTCATGGAGTGACAGCGTTTGTTTCTTCTTGTTTTGCATCCCTTCTCCCACAAGTTTCCCTTGCTGTTTTTATTACCTGTGAGTTATAATTGAATCCTTAGCTAGGAAGATAAAATGGTTTAGTTTAGTCTAGTCTCAGCTTCATATCTAGATTGCAGTTACTTCAGTTTCCTGAGAGCTAGGGTTTCTCTTGTAATCAGTGCGTCAGACAAGGAATTACTCAAGGTGAAAGGTGATAATTTTCACTCTAGGACTCTCCTTTTAATCAAGAACAGAAGTGGCTGGCTTTTTTAATTGTTGGATTGCAGCTCCCATCCTCTTGTTAACAGTGCCAGTGGTAGTTGCGGTCCAACAGCATCTGAAAGACCACATGTTCTTCAGCCCTGTAGAAATAAAGTAGAAATATAATAAAATAATCAAATAAAAAACTCACAGCAACCCAATAATGGAGTTGTTGGAATTGCAGGTGTATGTACAGTGCATGAAATGCATACAGTGATTTTGCACAGGGCAGTCATTTAGCTCAATGACAGTGTTCCCTTGTCACTGACAAAAAATGTTCAGCCATGCCTTTGTTAGAACCTCTGAATTTATTAAATGTATGATAGGGTCCCCTGGTGGTGCAGCGGGTTAAACCACTGAGCTGCTGAACTTGCTGACCAAAAGGTTGGTGGTTCAAAATCCGGGGAGCGGGGTGAGCTCCCAGTCATAGCCCTAGCTTCTGCCCATCTAGAGATTTGATAACATGCAAATATGAGTAGATCAATAAGTACTGCTCTGGCGGGAAGGTAATGGTGCTCCATGCAGTCATGCCGGCCACAAGACCTTGGAGGTGTCTATGGACAATGCTGGCCCTTGGGCTTAGAAATGAAGATGAGCACTACTCCCCAGAGTCGGACATGACTAGACTTAATATCAAGGGGAAACCTTTACTTTACTTTACATGATAGAAATATCATCTTTCTCGCAGTTGGAAGATGTGATCTTTTCCCCAGGATCACCTTGATACATTCAGTTTTAAAAGGAAGCCTTGTATACATGACTTGAATTCTTCCTCTAGTGAACCAAGATTTATTGACTTGGTTTCAGATTTACAGGCTGTTTCAAAAAGCGTAGACTTATTTTGGTCTGGAATGTGTTTTTCTAAGAAAATTCTAATAAATTTTCTAGTGACAAAGCTGTGTAAAGGAAGAGCTACATAGGCAAGTAATTTGAATGACCAGGGGATCACAAATGTTGTTTTGGGTTACATTGTAATTGTCACTGACTTCCTCCCATGTACACTTTGACACAGAGGATTTTAGAGAGATACAGGGACATGTACAGTGTGTAGAGTGCTGAAGAAATAGTGTGAAAATCTCCTTGTTGCTCAGCATTCCTGGCATTTCTTACCACATTGAAAACTACAATGAAAATTGTACATCCGAATTTGGGGGTTTGTGTAGTTCTTGATGCCCTACATGCCAACGGTCCAGGGTGCTACCCCCTGTGATTCAAATTGTGCATGTTAAAAAGAAAAAAGTAGGGAGATGGAAGATCTAGCACTGGTTTTGTTTTATATTTTTTGTGTGTTTTTTAGTTATGTTCCATTCCATTTAGTGCTAATGCTCTTGAGAAGTTCAATGTGATACAATTGTAAATTAGCACAAAAGGTTACTGAGGTGTGGGAGGTGTAGTGTGATGTTCAAAACATCAATGACTTGCTGTGTGTTTTAATAATAATAATAATAATAATAATCTTTATTTGTACCCCGTCACCATCTCCCCAAGGGACTTGGAGCGGCTTACATGAGGCCAAGGCCAACAACACATCAATAAAAACAAAAAGCAATAAACAAAAACAATAAATACAATACAATTAATATAAATCACATATAAACAATAACCAGTAAACAGTAACACACAGGATTTAAAAACCTGTGGCCAGGCCAAATGTAATAGTTTAAAAATAAAAATAAATAAATAAATTAAAAATAAAAATAAATTAAAAATAAATGCTGGGCATGAACGAGGTAGGATATATCTGGTATAGGTTTTAAAGGAGATGAGGGAGCACAGTCAATCCTAAACCAGTAGTAAAGTGCATTCTGAGGACATATTGTTGGGAATTTTCCTTATTCTGGGAAGGCACACTGGAACAACCATGTTTTCAGGCTCCTGCTAAAGACTTCCAATGTTGGAGCATGCATGATGTCCTTGGGAAGTGAGCCACCCCAATACCTGTGCCATTACCTGCAAAGTGGTAACCTTGCTATGTAGGAAGCTGCCATATTTAGCTTTATATTGTCTGCACTGACTATTGTTTTGTTTTTTATTTGCGGTATTTGTATACAACTCTACTCAACCCCGGAGGGAATGCAGGGCAGTTCAGTGTTGCCAACAATTCAATGTCATCAATAAGAATAGTATAAAACATCAAAATTGACCCTCCCCTGATAAAACATTGAACATTATTAAACACATCACATAAAATAAATCACATATCACACAAAGACATAACCACTGTCCGTAAATAGTCCTGGGTCATTGCATTTTCACTTTAAATATACCTATAATGGGTCCCAACGCTTGGTTCCACAGCCAGGTCTTTAGCTGTCTCCTAAAGGTCAGGAGGGCGGGGGCCAACCTGATCTCCAGGGGTTCAGTGGTTCTCCAGGGGTTGAAGCAGTAGTCTTTCCTAGCAGTATCTGGAAATGCTGGGGATTGAATCTGGAACCTTTTATGTATAAAGTACATTCTGTGTCTCTGAACTATTAACAATCTTTCCCCCTTAATGGATTAAATATTTTCAATTCATTTTGTTTTCCGCGTCCTTCACTTTTCTTCCTTGGAGATCACAGCTGTGTACTAAGGGGTTCCTACTGCTGCCCCCAGTGATGCCCAGGCTTTTTCTTTGAGTGGTTTTGCTTAAGTCTTCCTTCCGATGTGCATTATCTTGTGTATGATGGACGATTGAAAATTCACCATTTGATGTTCTGCCAGCATTCCAGTCCTGGCTCTTGCAACTTCGCATTTTCTGCATAGCCTGCCATTTGACCTCTTGGAAGTGGTCATTGGCCTGACCCAGCAGAGATTTCTTTTCCTCTCTCCTTGTCCTTGTTACTGGAGTAGTTTCCTGTGATCCCTGTGTTGTGGTTTGTGCAGACTGCCAAAAAGTGTAGCCTCCACAGTTAAAACTACTTTAAACACATCATTTAGTGCATACCACCGATTCACATGATAAAGCTGTGACATGCTGGGGAAGCAGATGTTTGTGCTGGTCAAGGAGACACTAGTTTAGTTGGCTGGAGTATTCTTTGAAATGCATACAGCTGCCTCCTGTCATGTGTAACAATTCCTATGGGGATGTGTTAGAATAGCAAACTGTGAAAAATGTTCTTTACCTTTTTTTAATAATTTTTTTTTATGAGCCGGCCACCTCAGTGTAGAGTTTCTTTGCCTGATGCACAGTTCTTGCCTTTGGCAGACATGGTAGATCAAGAGTCCTTCTACCTCTGTGCCTTTGATCCAATGGAGCAGGGTTAGGCAGAAGGCCATGCAAGATCTACTGCAGTGGTTCTCAACCTTCCTAATGCCTAGACCCCTTAATACAGTTCCTCATGTTGTGGTGACCCCCAATCATAACATTATTTTTGTTGCTACTTCATAACTGTAATTTCACTACTGTTACAAGTCATATCTGATATGCAGGATGTATTTTCATCCACTGGACCAAATCTGGCATTTGGGAGTTGTAGTTGCTGGAATTTATAGTCCACCTACAATCAAAGAGCATTCTGAACTTCACCAATGATGTAATTGAAACAATTTTAGCACACAGAACTCCCATGACGAACAGAAAATATTAGAAGAGTTTGGTGGGCACTGACCTTGAGTTTTAGACTTGTAGTTCAACTACATCCAGAGAGCACTGTAGACTCAAACAATGATGGATCTGGACCAAACTTGGCATAAATACTCAATATGCCCAAATGTAAACACTGGTGGAGTTTGGGGAAAATAGACCTTGACATTTGGGCATTGTAGTTGCTGGGATTTATAGTTCATCTACAATCAAAGAGCTTTTGGAACCTCACCAACAATAGAATTGGACCAAATTTCCCACACAGAACCCCCATGACCAACAGAAAATACTGTGTTTTCTGATGGTCTTTGGCAACCACTCTGACACTCCCTCGCGACCCCTCCAGGGGTCCCGACACCCAGGTTGACAAATGCTGATCTACTGCAATCCACAGTTGGCTATGACCAGCAAGGGTTTCCATTTCCCTGTGGTTTTGCAGGAAGCCATTTTCACTCCTCTCTTAGAACGCTGAAGTCAAGCCAGCCTTCAGGAAAACAAGAGTAGGATTTGTGTGCAAGCTTGAGTTCTCATATTAAAAACTAACAAATGTATGGGCTGAGCATATACCCAGAATCACCTGGTATCTCTGTGTTGTGTCTGCCTTCCTGAGCCATTGCTTAATACCTGGCTCTGGTTGATAGACCCACAGAAATCTTGTAGAGGGGAGAGGAAGCCTGAGTAAATCCAGCAAGCATAAAGTCTCTTCTTTAGGGCAATGAAGGTTTTTCTCATCTTGCCTTGCTCTGAACCCTTCACCTTCCTTCATTCAATATACTCATTTCCTGTCAGAAAAGGAAATGGTGCAGCTTGCATGCTGCCTCTTTCCCCACCCTCCTCCCTTTCAGTGTTAGGGTTGTTTTCTTTGAGTGTATTCACAAATCAGGAAACCACAGCTTCCTTAGAAGAAACGGCTGCACAGAAGAGGAAAGTGCTTGCAACATGCACTGTAAAGGAGTTGGGTCTGGGGGACTTGTAGCAGAGAGGCTTCCTGGGAAATGGTGACTTTATTGGTTGCAACATGATGGGTAGGACTTTTGGCTCAGTTGAGATATTGTACACTTAAGGCAATGGACAAATCATTTAAAAAATCACAGTTCTTGCCAAATACTTTATTGCAAAAATATTTCTCTTTCAAAATGGGCATGCAGCCAATTACTTGTCCTATGTGGTGCTTTTTAGCAGAATGGATTGCTTCTTTCCCCCAAAAGACTCCAGCTTAGAACTGTACTCAGAAATTATGACTTCCAGGCAACCAGATTGGCCCAGTTATTTATTGCTAACTGCTCTCAAATTGGCTTTGACCTATAGCGAGCATTTGAACAAGAGACTTCCAAGTCACTGTGTATCAACAGCCCTACACAAGTCTTGCAAACTCAGGACCATAGCTTCCTTGACAGTCCGTCCACATTGAAGGTGGTGTTCCTATCGTCCTATAGCCTTCAATCTTGCCAAGCATCATTGTCTTTCCTAGGAGCCCCCGTGGGACAATGGGTTAAACCCTTGTGCTGGCAGGACTGCTGGACAACAGGTTGGCGGTTTGAATCTGGGGAGCGGGGTGAGCTCCCGTCTCAGCTCTAGCTTCTCATGTGGGGACATGAGAGAAGCCTCCCACAGGATGGTAAAACATCAAATATCTGGGCATCCCCTGGGCAGTGTCCTTGCAGACTGCCAATTCTCTCATGCCAGAAGTGACTTGCAGTTTCTCAAGTTGCTCCTGATACAAAAAAAGTTACTAGTGAATTGTGCCATCTCATTATATGTCCAAAGGATGATAGTCTCAGCTTAGTCATCTTGGCTTTTAGAGAAGATTCAGGCTTGATTTCCTTAAGGACCTATTTATTTCTTGTTTTAGCATTCTATGTAATCACAGAATACCCATAGCATTACACCTCAAATGACTGCTTCTCTAAAAACCAACTGTTTTCAATGTCAGGTATTCACAACCATACATAGAAATCAGAAATAGATTGGCATAGCCAATCCTTACTTTAGCATTCAATTTTGAGAACATTGTTTTGTTCCTTCCTTGTTGCATTTCGAGGTCCTAGTCTTCTTCTGATTTCTTGTCTACAGTTTCCATTTTGATTAATGACAGCAGGATGGTATGGGAAAACTTTAACTATTTTAGTATTTTCATAATTTACTTCAAAATTGATAAGTTACCTGTGGTCATTGTTTGTGGTTTTTTTAATGTTCACTGCCTTTGCACTTTGGTTAATAGTTGCTCCAAGTCTTTTCTATTTTCTTGTAGTAATAAGTTGCCATCTGGATATCTTAAATGGTCACCTTTCCTTCCTCCAATTTTCATGTTTCCATCTTCCAAGTCTAAACCTTGTTTTCATATGATATGTTCAGAGTACAAATTAAACAGGGTGATAAAATGCAGATTTTCATTGACTCTATTCCTTGGAAACCATATTGTGACCTGGTAGTAGCTTCTTTTCCTGAATATAAGGCAAGCCTGAGATAGTTGAATATTGCTGGTGAGGTTACTTTTCTGGAAGACAACTCCCAAAACTGCTCAAGCAGCATCCCAGCATTCTTGGAGTTGATGTTCAAGAAAGTAACTTTCTCCAGCTCTGCATTTATATAGAATGCTATATCTGGCTTCTCTGCGTGGTGTCACTGTTCTTGCCTTCCTGTCTTTACTTAGTCTCTGCCATGAAAACAACCAATTCTGCCATGTCTCTGCATGTTGGGTGATATAGATTACTTAACTCACACTTAGACCACAGAATCCTGTACTCTGAGGAGGCTGCCCTGTTGCCTTTCCATACAAGTCTAAATCTCTTTTTCCACTTGGGAGACTTGCCCAGATCAGTGAGTCACAGAGAAACAAAGAGCTTGGTAATTTAATAAGGGAACTGAATGTCATTCCTCTTTTCCTCCCTCCAATCACAGCACAGTTGGGAAAGAGATTGTCCTTCAGACTCGAAGGAAAAGGAACAAAGCCCCTGGTATATAAATATCAGACTGAGGGTGGGGGTGGAAGGGGGGAGCAAGGAAAATTTAGTCTAGGGGTGGCGAGTTAGACTTGTAGTTTGGTGAAGCAACTGTTCCAGTGGACAGTGGTTGGCCTGTCTTTAAATGACAACATCAAAAACAAGTCTAGACTCAAACTGTTACATAGCAAGATACTCCCTGGGGTGTGATCTAGATGCCCCACATTGCAGTTAATTTCTCAAACTTTAATATCAATTAATTAGTTTGTTTGATTCTTCTTCTCTCAGAAAACAAAACTGTCTTGTTGACCAACAGGAGAGAGAATAAACATGTTTTTTTGTGTCAGGAGCAACTTGAAAAACTGCAAGTTGCTTCTGGTGTGAGGGAATTGGCTGTCTGCAAGGACATTGTCCAGGGGACGCCCAGATGTTTTGATGTTTTACCATCCTGTGGGAGGCTTCTCTCATGTCCCCACATGGGTAGCTGGAACTGACAGAGGGAGCTCAACTCGCTCTCTTTGGATTCGAACTACTGACCATTCGGTCAGCAGTCCTGCTTGCACAAGGGCTCCTAGAATAAACAATAATGGGCAGCCTCTTCCTGCGCTTGGAGATTCTGTTACGTCACCTGTGAGGCATTTGTATCGGCTCTTTTAATGTCCTGCTAAGCTGTAAAAGTTTTGGATGACACAACAGAACAGGTTAATTTTGTATGAAAAGAGTTAATAAGAATTGACTAATGCCTGTTTCCATTCCAGAGGGAGATTACCACAATTTGTGTGAGAAGCAACCCATTGGCCGCCTGCTCTTCCGGCAGTTCTGTGAAACGCGGCTTGAGCTGATGCGCTGTGTCAAGTTCTTGGATGCTGTGGTCAGTACAACTTTATGAGATCCCTGTCCCCTCCTGGGCACGTAGGACATAGTGACTAACTAACTGTACTTTTTGGAACACCATGTTGCACCTCAGCAGGAGTTCACCTTGATCATAGCACTCACCAGGAAACCATACATGGTAATATACACTTTATTGATAAAACACATATAAGGAAGGGCCAAAGACACCTTAAGCAAATAATAGGATAAAAATCCAAGGGGTAATAAAGAAAGCAAGTCCCAAAAACAGTAGGTAAATCCAAAAAGCAAGAGGTAAAACATGAATATTAATCCAGGAAACCAGGAACAAAACAAGAGTATGAATCCATAGATAAATCCATGAAGCCAGATGCAAAACTTGACCAGAAATCTTGGGCCTTGAGCTAAAGCATGAACCAGGAACAAGACAGGAGTTTCTCACTCCAGTAGCGACGTTGCTTGATCCAAAATCTTACCAGCTCCCTAATTAAAGGGCTGCCAAACATGAATGCATTGCTTTGACCTTGGCCCGTTTCTGCCTCTCTTTTCCATGGTTTTTCTTGCACTTGAATATCTACCCCCACAAAAGCAGCCTGGTATCTCTAAGCCAACTGCTTCCTCGGATGAGCTAATGTTATCTTCTCCTCCTTGCCTGTTGGCTTCCAAATCAGTATCACTCTCACACTTTGACTCAACCACAGCATCTTTCTCCAAAATCCCCTCCGTTCTTTCAGCTGGAGAACGATCTTGCTCTGAGACCCCCTCTGTCTGGGCACCCACAGAACCATCAGGCCTTGTACCCACAAACCCCTCATCTTCATCAGCTGGCTGAACCACAACGCACCACATCCTTCTTTCTCTCACAGCTGAATCTATAGCTCTGATCCTGTTCAGCAGTTCTATTCTTCTCAGAGCAGATAATGAGTTTTGAAGTTCAATGTCTGAAAATGATTGGGATAGTGAGTTTCCCAGAATAGAATACTACCACATATGATGAAGAGTTTAGAGTAGTTCTTTTAGACTCCGAATCCCAACATTCCCCCAGCCATCAGCTGGCTATGCTGGCTGGGAGCGAGATTCTGGGAGTTGCAGTTTTAAAAAGTAACTTTTGGGGGCTTTCCAAATAAAGGGGTGGACTCTTCTTCCTTGCAATAAGAAAATATGATTGATTTGGATCCTCTCTGTATTCTTATTCCTAAAAGAAGTCCATAGAGCAAATTCCTGATGTATTGTCGAAGGCTTTCATGGCTGGAATCACTCGGTTGTTGTGGTTTTTTTCGGGCTATATGGCCATGTGCCTACAGGTTCATCGGAACGCGCAAGCCCCCTCACCACGACAAGGTGACAGTCCATCGAGACTTACTTAGGCGATCCCTCGTAGTCCGAGGATGATGGTCCTCCAAGTGTAGTATCCTGGCGGTGGGTCCGTAGGTGACTGTGGAGCCTTATTCTTGATCTGCATCTTCTCCCGCAGTGAGGGCATCGGTTTCCAGGTGGAAGGCGGTCCCGGTCGGGGTTGGCTTGATGTGCCTTCCTCTTGGCACATTTCTCTTTCACCCTCCACTCGTGCCTCTTCAAATTCTGCAGCACTGCTGGTCACAGCTGTCCTCCAGCTGGAGCGCTCAAGGGCCAGGGCTTCCCAGTTCTCAGTGTCTATGCCAGAGTTTTTAAGGTTGGCTTTGAGCCCATCTTTAAATCTCTTTTCCTGTCCACAAACGTTCCGTTTTCCGTTCTTAAGTTCGGAGTAGAGCAACTGCTTTGGGAGACGGTGGTCAGGCATCCGGACAACGTGGCCGGCCCAGCGGAGTTGATGTTGGAGGACCATCGCTTCAATGCTGGTGGTCTTTGCTTCTTCCAGCACACTGACGTTTGTCCGCTTGTCTTCCCAGGAGATTTGCAGGATTTTCCGGAGGCAGCGCTGATGGAAACGTTCCAGGAGCTGCATGTGACGTCTGTAGACAGTCCACGTCTCACAGGCATATAGCAGGGTTGGGAGGACAATAGCTTTATAGACAAGCACCTTGGTCTCCCTACGGATGTCCCGGTCCTCAAACACTCTCTGCTTCATTCTGGAAAATGCTGCACTTGCAGAGCTCAGGCGGTGTTGTATTTCGGCGTCGATGTTGACTTTGGTGGAGAGGTGGCTGCCAAGGTAGCGGAAATGATCAACATTTTCTAATGTTACACCATTAAGCTGTATCACTGGCATTGGAGAGGGATTGGCTGGTGACTGCTGGAACAGCACCTTGGTTTTCTCAATGTTCAATGACAGGCCGAGCTTCTCGTATGCTTCTGCGAAGGTGTTTAGAGCGGCTTGTAGATCTTCTTCTGAATGCGCACAGACGACATTGTCATCAGCATACTGGAGTTCTATAACAGATGTTGTTGTAACCCTTGGTTTTGGCTTTCAGTCTGCTGAGGTTGAATAGCTTGCCATCTGTCCGATAGATGATTTCCACTCCGGTGGGAAGCTTCCCATCAACAAGGTGAAGTATCATAGCGATGAAGATGGAGAATAGAGTTGGGGCAATAACACATCCCTGTTTGACACCGGATTCCACTTTAAATGGGTCACTTTGGGAGCCACTGCTGTCCAAGCCATCATGTCATCATGGAGGAGCCGCAGGATGTTCACAAATTTGTTAGGGCACCCGATTTTGTGGAGGATGGTCCAGAGAGCGCTGCGATTCACTGTGTCGAATGCCTTTGCAAGGTCGATGAATGCCATGTACAGAGGTTGGTTTTGTTCCCTGCATTTTTCTTGGAGCTGTCGTGCAGTGAAGATCATGTCCACGGTTCCTCTGGAGGGGCGGAAGCCGTTCTGGGATTCTGGGAGGGTGTCTTCTGAGAGGGGCAGAAGGAGGTTTGCAAGGATTCTTGCGAGGATTTTCCCAGCAGAGGTTAGAAGGGAGATACCTCGATAGTTTCCGCAGTCTGTTCTTTCCCTTTTTTGAAGAGGGTGATGATGGTGGCATCCTTGAAGTCTGCTGGGATTTTCTCGGTCACCCACACTTTTTCTATGAGCTGGTGGAGTTGGTGTGTCAGCTCAGGTCCTCCCTCTTTAAAGATTTCAGCAGGGATCCCGTCTGGTCCACTGGCTTTGTTATTCTTCTGTTGGCTGATGGCATTGCTGACTTCTTCCAAACTGGGCACTGCTGCAAGCTCATCCCTGGTTTGTTGTTGTGGGATTTGTGAGAGGACCTCTTCGGCCACATTGGAGCTGCGGTTCAGGAGGCTTTGGTAGTGTTCTTTCCAACGTAGTGCAATTGAGTTTTGGTCCTTCAGGAGTTTGGTTCCATCTGATGAGCGTAGAGGCTGTATGCCATGGTTTCTTGGTCCGTAGATGACCTTTGTGGCTTTGAAAAATCCCTGAGCATTATGGGTATCTGCCAGGTGTTGGATTTCTTCAGCCTTCTTTGTCCACCAGATGTTCTTGAGTTCTCTTGTCCTTCTTTGGACCTCAGCTTTTGCACTGGCATAGATCTTTTTCTTAGCAACACAGTTGATGTCTCTCTGCCATGCTTGGAAGGCTTTCCTTTTCTTGTCAATTAGCTGTTGGATCTCGATGTCATTTTCATCAAACCAGTCTTGATGTTTCTTGGCTTGGTATCCAATAGTTTCTTCGCAGGCTTGGATGATGGAGGTCTTCAGTTTGTTCCAATGTTCCTCGACATTTTCGGGGTGTACTGTGGGTAGATGGTCTTGAGTGCTGTTTGGAGATGGGCTCGTCTGGAGGGCTCCTGAAGGGCTTGGGTGTTCATTTTGCGCCTTGTCTTCCTTCCTTGGAGTCTGCGCTTGGGAGCGATCTTGATAGAGGATCGAATTAGCCTGTGGTCAGTCCAGCAGTCGTCAGCACCTGTCATGGCTCTTGTGAGGAGCACGTCACGGCGGTCTCTGGCGCGTGTGATTACATAGTCTAAGAGGCGCCAATGCTTTGACCGGGGGTGCTTCCATGATGTCTTGAACTTGTTTTTCTGGCGGAAGAGCGTGTTGGTGATGACAAGGTTGTGCTCCGCACATTTGGTGAGAAGCAGGATGCCATTTGAGTTGCTGTTTCCAACCCCGTCTTTTCCTATGGTCCCTGGCCACAGGTCGAAGTCTCGCCCGACTCTTGCATTAAAGTCCCCCAGGAGGATGATTTTGTCCTCCTTAGGTATCCCCGATAGGACGGTGTCCAGCTGACAGTAGAATTTCTCCTTGATGTCTTCGTCAGCATCTAGTGTTGGTGCATAGGCACTTATGATGGTTGCCCGTTGGTTTTTGGCAAGATCGATTCGGAGGGTTGAGAGTCGTTCGTTGATGCCAGTGGGTGCTTCGGACAGATGTTTCACCAGATCATTCCTGATGGCAAAGCCAACTCCGTGCATTCTTTGGTCTTTTTCGGGCAGTCCCTTCCAGAAGAAGGTGTAGCCTCCTTTTTCTTCCTTCAGCTGTCCCTCTCCTGCTCTCCGGGTCTCCTGAAGGGCTGCTATGTCGATGTTGAAGCGTCCCAGCTCCCTTGCAATGATGGCAGTTCTGCGTTCGGGGCGTTCACTGCCACTGTTGTCCATCAGAGTCCGTACGTTCCACGTACCGAAGTTCATTTTCCTCTTTTGGCCGCAGGGTGGTGACCCCACTGGACGCGGCAGTCCAGTCAGGGATAAGTGAGGCAGACTATGTTTAGGGCACCTTTTCTAGCCCCCTCCCCATGTGGGGTGAGCAGAGTGGGTCCTCAATAGGGCTGCTCAGTCGCGGATACAGCTGCTGAACTACTCAACTGCCTCGGACCTTGAGGTAGAACGACTGAGTCCGTACCCACCGCCCATGTGCCAGTCTGTGACTAGGGGCTTCCAGATTTCACAGTCCTGCCCCCGTCGCCACTCGCTGATCGCCATGGGACTTTGGTTGCTTGGTTTTTGTTTTCTTTGGAAGACGCCTGTGCGTGGGTTTTTTTAATGTGTGGAGGTCAGTGCACAACTGATCAACACACAGACTTCACAGAGTGAGGTTCCACTGGTGATGTAGTTTAACACAATGACCGTGGCTTCTCAGTCTGTTGCAGCCTTCTTCCGCCTTCGCAGCCGTTGTAACATGTGCCATGTTATCCTCCGCCTGCTCCGCCGTTGAGGTCTTTGGGTCTTCGGACTGTGCTTGGTCTGGAACCTCCCCCGCGGCCACTCCTGGGAGTGCATGTTCCCAGGCCATGTTCTAGAGGAATTCTCTCCTGATGTTTCACCTACATCTATGGCAATCATTCTGAGAGGTTGTGAGGTGAGAAGATCAGAAAACTCCTGGATCCTACTATATACAGAAAACTTAAACAAGACCCAACTTCCACCTCACAACCTCTGAGGATGCTTGCCATAGATGGAGAATACCTCTAGAACATGGCTATATAGCCTGAAAAAAACCTACAACAACCCAGAAATTCATGATGTTTTCTTCTCATTTGATATAGGCAGAGTATGAAGTGACCCCTGATGAGAATCGGAAAGAGTGCGGGCAGCAGCTGATCAAGACATACTTGAATCCTCAGGTGAGAATAGATAGCTTTGTGGAGGGGGAGGGATACGGTATTGATAAAGAACAGGTGTTGCGTGATTCATATACCTGTATATTAACAACATGGAATATTACCATCTGTGCCAAGGATTCATGGGCAAATGCCAGAGCCTCATACATGAATGCCAGAGCCTCAGCGGGCCAACCAGATTTGTTACTGTTTTTCTCTGTGTGTGCAAATAGAGGCCTGGCAGTGAAAGGAGAGGCACTGAGCCAGGTTGTATCCATCTTCTTCTGCATCTTGCTCTGACACAGCAGTGCAGCTTTGGAAATAAGGAGGTGTGGACTTCTGCACCTGCCATCCTTTTCCTTTCCATGCTGGCCCCACAGTTGTGCCACACCCTCAAGAGTGGGACCCTAGCTAGCCTGACACAATCATCTGTGGTCTTGAGTCTGACAGGAAATGGATTGAGTGACTGTAACAGCATTTTGCTGCTAATTTGGGTCTGCCTCAGCTGTGAGTCAATCGTACCTGCAAAAATATGATTCTTTTGTTTGGCCCTTTTTCCTCAGAGTGCGGACCATGTGCCTGAAGTGTCTTTGGAGCTGGTCACTTTGTGTTCTGAGCGACTGGAGGAGGAGGAACCGGGTAAAGAGCTCTTTAAGGAATCTACCAAGTGAGTGGGGGGGAAATGGAGCGAATTTATTTTATGACGTGAACCTTTCTCAGGGCAGTAGTCACTATCAATAACTGCTTTCTTTTCTAATGTATTTGAGTCTGTTAATTGCAAGTTTTGGAATTGGTTACATAAGCATTCTTTCTCTGATGCAGGTGAGCCAGTTCACACTGTGCACTAAGAAGGTGATGTTTGTCTCTCTGAGTGTATTCCTGTCTGTGTCTTTTTTATAATATTTATTTCACTACAATCAGTCCACAATCAGTCTGCGTTTAACATTTGCAGATTCAATTACTGGTGGATTTGATTGATACAGTCTCTCTAGGCCCTCCAGGGTAATTATAAAGAGTCATATTGGAGAACCTAAAGATTCCTAGAGAGGTATTCTCTCAGCTTAAAAAAGAGCTTTTTCTGGGTTTTTATAGGTTTTTTGGGCTATACGGCTATGTTCTAGAAGCATTCTCTCCTGATGTTTTACCTGAATCTATTGCAAGCATCCTCAGAGGTTGTGAGGTCAGACCTCACAACCTCTGAGGATGCTTGCCATAGATTCAGGTGAAACGTCAGGAGAGAATGCTTCTAGAACATAGCCATATAGCCCAAAAAACCTACAACAACCCAGTGATTCCAGCAATGAAAGCCTTAGACAATACAGAGCTTTTTTCTCATTGCAGTTTTCCCACTTTTGTGGGGGTCCTGCACTTCCCAGTGAATACGAAGGGCTGATCACAGTTGTCTTATTCAACTCTTCATGGTGGGAAGAATGGGAAAGCAATTCTTCTAGTCCAGTGGTTCCCAACCTGTGGTCTATGGACCACCAGCAGTCTACTCACCATTACTACATCATTGCAACGAGAGCAACTGGTCTTGCAAAACCCTCTTATGGTGCTGAGGCAATGGGAGAGGAGAGGCTGACTACCCACGAAAGGCATGACAACAAGCCTCCTGAGTGCTGCTTCTCCTCCTCCCTTCTCCTGAGCGGAGCCATTCCATGTGGCATCTGGAAGCGGGAGCACCTTGGTGTCTTTGTTTTTAGGCCTGTTCCTGGGGTCATTTGGGGTGCTGATTCAGAAAATTGCATTGGATAGACCACATCAGCTCTAGATTATTAAAAAAATTGTAGGTGAGCAGATGGCAAATACTGGATGGCATATGTATCAGAAAAAAAAACAGATGTGGTTTATCCAATGCAATTTTCTGAATCAGTACTCCAAATAACCAAACTAAATCTAAAGTTGACCAAAAATTGATTCGTAACCTTTTTGGTACTAATGTTGGCAGAATGGTCCCTGGTCAAAGTGGTCCCTGATCAGAGTGGTCCCTTGTCAAAAAAAAAGATTGGGAACCACTGTTCTAGTCAATTGTGATGTTCCAGAGCAATAAAACTTATTTAGACTTGCTCTGCCTCCCTCAAGAAAAATGTCTGAATGTCCGTGGAGTAGCGACCTTTGCAGAAGAAAGCTGTTCTCAATGGGCAACTACATAAAAGCCACATGAGTTGGCCTCTATGTCAATGGAAGAAAAGCAGAATATAAATAAAGAAATAAAAGATCTCTGTCCAGTCTTACACGCTTTCATGTCCACAAGTATCCATTCTGGGTATTTGAATGGCTATGAATGAAATTGTGAAATTCCTTGCCACTGGTGGCATGGGTTATGCTTGAAGTTGTGGCCATATTAAAATGAAACTTTCTTCAGAACAGACTTCACCCCAGGCATCCCTCTTGAGCTTTTAATGTTTCTGCACCGACCAATCTAGTTTCCATTTCTGGTCTCAGTATTTGCTGCTGCAACTGTGGAAAAGGCTCCCACAAACATGACAAAGTTGGAAACCTAACTGGAAAATTCCCAGAAATATCCCAGCCTGGAGGACTGGTATCCATAAAAATAGCAGCCCGCCTTGCATGCATCCTCCTCCCTCGAAAAATAAGCAATGAGTGATTATATTAACTGAGAGCCCCTGGTTCGAGCTTGCTTATTTTGGCAGAAACTGATGCAGGCAATCACTTTTGTTCTTCTCTCCAGGCTGACCCTTACACTGCCTGTGCTTTGTATGATGTTTGCTGTCCTGACCTCATGATCCAAGAGATTGGTGTGTGCATTCAGCATTTTGTCTAGAGATATCTCAGGGCCTTTATGCTTTATTGTCCTTCCTAACTTTGATTAGCCCTCTGGTGGTGCAGCGGTTTAAACTGCTGAGCTGCTAAACTTGCCTATCGAAAGATCGCCAGTTCGAATCCGGAGAAGGGGGTGAGCTCCCATGGTTAGGCCCAGCTTCTGCCAACCTAGCAGTTTGAAAACATCCGAATGTGAATAGATTAATAGGTACCACTCCACTGGGAAGGTAATGGCGCTAGATGCAGTCATGCTGGCCACATGACCTTGAAGGCATCTATGAACAACGCCAGCTCTTCGGCTTCGAAATGGAGATGAGCACCAGCCCCCACAGTCGGACATGACTAGACTTAATGTCACGGGAAACCTTTACCTTTACTTAACTTTGATTTCACTAATAATGTTTTCTTCTTTTCCTAGGCTCATCCATGACTACCTTAGTGTGGCACCTTTTGCTGACTACCTTGATAGCATTTATTTTAACCGTTTCATGCAATGGAAATATCTAGAAAGGTAACCCTTGTGTTTTGTCACGAGTTCATAGCAGCCCTATTTTATTCAGTCTAGCAGATTTACATATGACATAAAGAACAGATTGCATGCCATTAATACTTGTTCTCTCTTGAGTGTTGATCATGCAGAGAAAGGTGTTCTCTTGAGGACATGTTCACACTTTTGCTGTTACTAACCTTGAGGCCCACTAACCCCCTGTTTCATTACCTACTTAATAAAGAGGAGGCAAGTGGGGAAGGAAAAATGTCACAGTACTTATTGGGTTGTTTTTTTTACTTTAGCATGAAATTTCATGGATAGAATCCTATTTATTTGGATGTAATACTGAGTGGTACATTTTCCATCAGGCATAGATATGAGGTATTGTTTTTATTTGCATACATTGTAGAGCAAATGCACAAGGAACTATTTATCTTTCTTAGTGGGTGAGTTTCAGTTCGCTCTACTCTCCTCCTTTCTGTTCTCAGGCAACACGTGACCAAGAACACATTTCGTCAGTACCGTGTACTGGGGAAAGGAGGTTTTGGAGAGGTATGTTACTGGAGCAATCCTGGGGAGGTATTTCCTTTTCATACATTCAAAAGCCTGTAGCATGGAATATATTTCTGTGCCAGAGAAAAATGATGAGAAAGTAATTTCTGCTCAGCTTAGAAATATATCTTTTAATCTACTGTATATACCCAAGTGTTAGTCAATTTTTCAAAATGAAAATGACCCCCAAAACCTGGAAACACATATTCACGGGTCAATGCTGGAAATGCTCTGCTCTCCCTGCCATTTTGGGCACTTGAAGTAGACACTTTTCATAAGGGCTTACTGTATAAGCCTCATGAGGTTGGCAGTCTTTCCCTGCAAGCCTCGCTAAACTTGGAGATACTACTGTAAACTACTTAAAATATAAACTGCTCCGTTCCAAGCGTCCAAAATGATGGGCATGCCACATTTGTTAGGCTCCCACACATTGCTACTGAGCAGAGTTTGGACAGAAAATGGAGGGGAGGAAGGAGGGACAACTATCTCTCTGTCAAAGGCAGGGTAATTGGGTGGGAGCAGTTCTCGCCTCTGCCTCTTACCGCTGGCTTTGCACTGCTTTCCTAATAGAAGGCAGGTTGTTTTCCTTCCTTTTGCCCACTCCTCCCTTTTCAGGTCTCATTTTCCCCTCATTTATATCCCTTTCTCTATATTTAATTTTATAGATTCAGATATAGTGGAATACCAGCAATATCAAAAGAGCTGATAAAATAGAGTTGTCAGTTGTGTAATACTTAATTTCCTTCCTGCTTCCCTCAAGGTGTGTGCTTGCCAGGTGCGAGCCACTGGGAAAATGTATGCCTGCAAGAAGCTTGAGAAGAAGCGGATTAAAAAACGGAAGGGGGAAGCCATGGCTTTGAATGAGAAGCAGATACTGGAGAAAGTGAACAGTAGGTTTGTAGTAAGTACATAGGAAATGCTTTACTTTTGCACCGGGGTTGGAACGGCTTGGCAGTGCCCTTGATCCTTGCCCCCCACAATGAAATGATCTTGTGGAGGCTACACTTAGTGGAAGGAGGAGGCTAGCTTGCTTTGGCGCCCCTCTGAAAATGGGCTTAAATAGGATCTTTAATTCTTGGAAGTCAGTTGGGGATGATATTAATCTACAGGAGTGTATGCAATCTTACGGGTTGCATTACCTCTTGTTGAGTTTGTTAATATATAAACAAAGTAGTGCTGGAGATGCTTTTCTCTGGTTTCCTCTCATACTACACTGTAATACAGGCAAGATTGATAGATAAAGTCAAAGGAAAAGGAAAATATAAAGAACTGAACCATTCTCTCTTCATGATTGATCAATTAAAATAATATCTGAATGAAGGAAAGTACTGTTCCCAGAGGGTGGGGGGGCGGTGGGGGTAGGAGGGGTGTATTGATAGACACAAGTGGGAGAATTGGCAAGATTAATAATATTAAGAAAATAACATTTGATATGTAGTGGTGACTGATTTTGACACTATTCTATCTGTATTTACAATAAAAAAACATATTTTTTAAAAAGTAATACACCCTAAGTTACAAACATCCAACCTACAAACAACTTATAGTTGAGACAATAGGAAGTGAGAGAAATTTACACTTAGGAGGGGAAATTCACTCCTGTAAGAGTTATCATGGGAAAAAAGGATGTCTCCACTGAAGCTTTAGATCTTTGTTTCCACAAAAAGCCAAAATTTTCAAAATCTAATTATCACAGGGACAGAAAGTGACGTGAAACTTTCTGAACAGGGGCATAGACAGCAAAACAAATACCACAGGGGTGTTAACCCTTCTTTATGCTATCCAAAGTATAATATATATATTTGGCTGGAGTTACACTTTAAAAATGTACTTATTCTGACGTACAGACAAATTCAACTTAAGAACAAATCTACAGAACTTGCCATATTATTGACCAGGGCTCCACACAGGGAGAGAACCACTCCCATGTTGCATTAGCTCCATTAACTGCCAATTCACTTCCAGGCTAAATACAAAGCCTTGGCCATTACCTTTAAAGTCCTAAATGGTCCGGGCCCAGCCTATCTAGAAAACCTCATCCCCTTGTACAAGCCTCTTCAGTCAGTGGAGGAGGCCCTACTCTCAGTCCCACCCCCATCTCAAGCACAGCTGGTGGGAACAAGAGAGGGGACCTTCAAAATGGGCCCCTCTTTACTCTCCTTTAAGAAGCAACTTTGAGCATTCTTATGCTCTCAAGCATACAATGAAAAGGAGGAATAAAGTTCATAGCACTGATAAATGGAATGGAAACAGAACAGATTTGACATTCTAGTACAGTTGGTTTTTAATTGTTTTAATGATGATTATTTAATGATAATAGTTTATTTTAATCCACTGTGTAATGTATTATATTGTTTTTCTGTTTAAACTGTTACTTTCATTTATATAGGCATTGAATGTTTGCCTCTTATCATACTGGAAGCTGCCCTGAGTCCCCTTAGGGAGATAGGGCATATTACAAATAAAGTATGATTATTATTATTATTATTATTTTATTCATAACTTGGGGGCTGCCGGTATATGAAACCTAGGATCGTACTGTCATGGTTGGTTATATGGGTCTTTTGCAATGTGGAAGAAATGTGGGTGGGTGGGTGGGTGGGAGGGCATCTATGAGTACCTATCCCCACGTGTTGTGATAGCACAACAGCCCCAGGGTCTGGCTGGATTTTTATGTTATTGTTAAAGAAAAAATGCAAATAGTAATTTCTCTAGTATGCTAAATGGTGTCCTTGTAAAAGCTGCAGCTTTTCTAGCATTTAAGGATTGGAAATTGTGGGCAAACTAGAGACCACTTTTCTGACTTTAGGCCCATCTGGAGGACCACTTGGACTGCTAAAAATGTTTTCCCAATCCAATAAAGAGAAGTTGCAGGAAATCCACCTTTGGTTTAAAGGATGGGAATATTTTCTTAAATTAAATAGTGCAGGGGAACTATAACCTATTTAAAAGTTGACACACAGACCGTTAAATCTTCTAACAGTGACAGTTTACCTCTTTGGCCACAAAAAGAGTACTCTAGCAGCAGTAATTACTACAACCACAGTATGAGAAGGGATAGAGGCCTCCGAGACCTCCACCAGGTTTCCGCCAGGCCACACCTTGCCCATCCCTGATGGAGGCGCCACTTTTCATTGAGACCTAAAAAGATTTGGGCTAAAAAGATTTCTGTTCAAGGGCAGCATAGTCTGTTTATAACAATGCATAGTCTTTTACCTAAGTACATTAGGACAAAAGGAAATAACTGTTTGTGAACCTTTTGTGCCAATCAGATATTTTATATTTAGTGCCCACATTGTTTTGAGATGGATGGTTGTACCCACTGGAAATGAGTAGTATGATGGTTTTTGCAATTTTAAAACTTCCCAGAAGAGCTGAGTTAAACGTCCAGCCTTCTGCATCTTGTTTCTGTTTTTTAATTTTGCATTCCTTCTGATCAGACATCTTGATGTTCTGTCCTTCCCGATTCAATTTTGTGTCCAGAAAATCTGATTATAAAACAAGGCAGTTCCTAGTAATTGGGGATGCTCTGACAGTATGGACATGCTAGTGATTTCCGACTGCTATTTATTTATTTATTTATTTATTTATTTATTTATTTATTTACAGCATTTATATTCCGCCCTTCTCACCCCAGGGGACTCAGGGCGGATTATAGTGTACACATATATGGCAAACATTCAATGCCAATTTTGACATACAACATATACAGACATACACAGAGGCTATTTAACTTTTTCTGGCCGCCAGGGAGCTGTCGCTTTCATCGTCCATCTGCGACACTGATGAAGTACTTCCGCATTCCCCGCATGCTTTTTTTTTTTTTGCTGGAGTGCTTTGCTGGAGTCTTTTTTATGGCTTCATAAATTAGTTAATTTAGCCTCCCCACACTTTAAGGTGGCACCTAATTTTACTACTTGACAGATGCAACTGTCTTTCGGGTTGCAAAGGTTGATAACAGGCTACACAATTGGTTGGAAACCCACTCCAACCCGGGCTGGCTTCGAACTCATGACCTTTTGGTCAGAGTGATCTTAATGCAGATGACACTCATCCAGCTGCGCCACAATCCCGGTGCACCAAAAATAGATGGTGCTGACACTATTCTGACAATACTGAAAACTGTGGGCGTTTTGAATTCCTGATCTCAGATTTAGATCATAACTCTCTTTCAATCGTGTTTTTACTTACACCTTTCCAGAATGCCCAGTCTCTTTCTGTTTAGCCGCTGTTTCCTCCAGTCCTTTCATCTCCCCTTTATCACATAACATTACTACGTGTGCTATTGAGCTTAACTCTCCTTATAGCTATTTGCTTGCACATCCTTTCTGTTTTGAGTATTTCTGGTGATTGTAAAGACTGGCGCAGTCATGCCATATGTTTGGTGGGGGGAATGCTATGCTGTGGGGGCTATTTTGATGCTTTTCTAGAGCCTGACCAGTCTGTCTGTATTACAGGTGAGCCTAGCTTATGCTTATGAAACTAAAGACGCCCTCTGCTTGGTCTTGACTCTCATGAATGGCGGGGATCTGAAGTTCCACATCTACCACATGGGGGAGGCAGGCTTTGAGGAGCCGCGAGCTGTTTTCTATGCTGCTGAAATCTGCTGTGGTTTGGAAGATCTCCACCATGAGAGGATAGTGTACAGGTGAGAACTGGACCTTCTAGGCAAAGCTGCAACTCAGGTTGGCATTCTGAGCCAGCAATGATTGGGGTGACTCCTTGAATGTACTGTACTGTACTGTGAATGAATTGTTCCGAAACTGAAGAAGGTCTGGTACCCTTTGATTCTCAGGCTGGTGAAAGGTGTGGAGAAAGGTCCAAGGGCTAAGAGAGTGATGCTTCCTGAACAATGGACCCTTTATTTAAAGTACAGTGAGCCCTTGGTTTCTGCTGAAATTTGGTTCCAAGGCCCCCCCATGGAGACCCAAATCCATCGATGCTCTTGTCTCGTTACACATTATGGTGTAGTTAAATTGTGTTTTCTTGTATAAAATGTGATTTTAATGTTATATTAAGATGTCTTAATTCTGTGTTTTAAATGTCTGTTTAAGTTCTATGTCTAAGATGATTTTAATGGTTTAATTTATAGTTATGTTATCGTTTTAATTATTATGCTTTAGTTTTGTATATATGTTTGTACTGAATCTTGCCATTACTTGATGTACACCGCTTTGAGTCCCCCCCCCCCAAATGGGTGAGAAAAGCAGTATATAAGTGCAGCAAATAAATAATAAAACCAATGTTTGCTGTTTTGATTTTTAAAAAATATTTTCAAATTGAGTTCTTGAATTTATATATATAAATCCATGGATACAGGGACCAATTGTAGCTGAGATCTTTCTATAGAGAAGATCTGCATGGGAGAGCTCTGTATGCTGAAATGTAGGGTATTTTTTTTTGTCATTTGGGATTCTTGCTTTGTGGTTGTCTGATGTTCTTCGTGAGCATGAGCAACAGGAAAGGATTTATCTTATAAAATCTGTCTTCCCCTATAGGGATTTGAAACCAGAGAATATCTTGCTGGACGATCATGGTGAGTAAACACTTGCAGTGGATCCTATGGCTCCATCTAGCAGCGAGTTGATGCACTTTGGGTTCTATAGCAAGATTTATTCTGGGCTGTGGGGAATTTGTAAATTGAACACTGACTTGACTCACTTCCTTTTCACAAGGTCACATCCGCATTTCTGACCTGGGGCTTGCTGTATATGTTCCAGAGGGACAGACGATAAAAGGCCGGGTGGGAACCGTTGGCTACATGGGTAAGTTTCCAAGAAGTACCTGGTGAGTCAACTGGAGTTGTGATGGAGACTGTAGGGCAGATCAGAACATGGGACAAAAGCATCCCCTTTCCAGCAGGGGCTGAGAAGGTTGGAGTGTATTGGCGAGAATGGATCATGACCTGTTAGGATCACTGGCCATCATTAACTGTTAGGATCACAACCTAATCAGGGTAACAGAGTTTATTTGGTAATGGATGATTGCTGGGTATGCAGATATTTTGTTTCTGTTTGATGCTTTCAGCAGACAATGATGCAAACAGACTTCTTTTAAAGATCGCATGTTTTGTTTACTGATAACTTCCTGTATTTAAAGATATAGGCACATTTCTTGTCAAGGGTTAAAGACTTCAGTAACGTTTCAGAGAATTTGTGTTCTTGAACTTATAACTTTAGCAGTTTCTTCATAAACTATGTTGCTTTATACAGCTCTCTTTAATAAGAGTTTACTTTCAAATAAAACACAAGCCTCAACAGTTTCTAACTTCCTTACATGAGTTTTTGCACTCTGACAGACTTCATTCAAGTCTCAACATACTTCTCTAACAGTCATTCCTCAATGGACATTCCCTAACTGTCATCCTGCTTAAACCTGAACATTCTAAACTCTCACTGAGTCAGTCACGTGACCTGCAGCCCCTCCCACTGCTTTAGGTATATAGAGATAAGGAAACTGCAAATCAAATAAGACATATACTTCAGGTTATAAAACAACACATTACAAAACAGAAAAACATCTTATAGAGGAGATTTGAGAAGGTTGCTTCTCCCAACAGAGTGAGCATCTTTCTGGTGCCCAGTGAGAAATAATTCACGTGCTACTTCAAAAAAGCTGTTTGTATTGATGCAGGGATATGGAAGTCCCTTCCTGAAATATCAAAGTCAACCACTTTGTAATTACTTGTAATTGATAAGAACAAGTGGACCTCAGTATTGCTATTGAATCCTTATGGTGTATTCATTGCCCACCAGTATCATCCAGGTTTGAAAATATTCAGGTGATGCAGATAGCCTAGCATTTGTTAAATAATCTACAAACATCCTTGCATTGCTTGGGTAGAAGGAGGAAACAATGGAATTTGAAATGGGCTAGAGCCCAGGATTACACAGTTGTGCAGAATGAGATGTGGTTAATCTTTGAATTACAGCTTGCGAAAGGTGGTGGGCATTCATTCCTGCTGCTTCTTCCCAATGCAGCTACTATTTAAGCCATTTTCCATTTCTACCATCACAGGAAACATGAGACTGAATATAATCATAAATCTTACCCTGGGCTGCTGGGGTCATTGGTAATTGTGTTATATTGATTTATCTAGCTTAATAGCATCTGCACTTATGTCTAGTAGCTCTCCAGGGTTCCAGGCAATGGCCCTTCTCAATCCTGGAATTCGCATCTAAGCCTTTCTTGCATGCCAAGCTATCATTGAGCTACAAGCCTTTACTTAGTACCATTTTTTTTTTGTATTTGAAAGCAATTCATAGGATTTTTTTTTCACACACTTCTTACTTTTGCAGCTCCTGAAGTGGTGAAGAATGAGCGCTACACATTCAGTCCTGACTGGTGGGCTTTAGGATGCCTGCTCTATGAGATGATTGAGGGCCAATCTCCGTTCCAGCAGCGCAGGAAAAAAATCAAACGCGAAGAAGTGGAACGGCTGGTGAAAGAAGTGCAAGAAGAGTACTCTGAGAAATTCTCACCTGCTTCACGTTCTCTCTGTTCCATGGTACTTGTGCCTTAAGCTACTTAGCTTCCTATTCCCATTGCAAAGGGATGCCAGGTCTCTTCAGAATGCTTCTTGGTGTGTTGTTGGAACTAGTTTTGTGTACAGGGCCCTCTCTTAAGCTAGGCCCCTTCGGGGTGAGAAGGGCGGGGTAAAAGTAAACCAAATAAAATAAACAAATAAATAAATAGGCTCAGCCAGGAAATTACCTTTGCACCTTTGCTATGTTAGCAACCTACTCAGTACAAGATTTATAAGCTTTCAGATCATCACTTTCCACATTGGAGGCTGACTCTAGGAAAGTATTTAAGGTTAGTGGGCAGCAAATATGATTTAACTCCAAGTTGCACCATCTATAATGTCTGCCTGGCATTGAGCAAATAAACAATTCAAGATCTACAATATCTCATCCTGTTTATTCATATCCTCTTATTAGTTTGTCTCAGAAAAAGCCAATATAGAAGCTTTAATTTCTATCGGGGACACCTTGGTCTCATCTAGTTCACCAGTTAAGATACAGCAACAGAGTTGAGACAACAATTGATGAGATTTCAACATGAAATCTCATCACAGTCATGCTCACATGTCTTGAATGCAGAAAGTCTCAGCTGCTGGGAAGATGGAGCAGGCTTCCTTTGTCTCTTTCTTCTCACCCACCATCAATTCTAGTCCCTTGAGTCCTTTTACACTTTAACTCCTTTTGCAAGTGTTTTGGGTAAGCAATGCCTTGTGTATAAGATATTTAGATATCCTGGGAATTCAGGTGGTTGTTGGGTATACTATCTATTGCATGTGCTATTCCATAAGCTGTCATCACTTGGTTGTTTCCTGGGATGTGTGTTGGGGAAAATCCTTATTTTATCCTTGAAATTACAAGGTTTTTCATTATTATTTATTATTTACAGTATTTACATTACGCCCTTCTCACCCCACAGGGGACTCAGGGCAGATCACAATGCACATATACATGGCAAACATTCAATGCTATAGACACACAACATATATAGGCAGACACATAGAGGCTATTTAACTTTGCAGCTTTATGAGAGTATGCTTTTTGAATTCCGGCCACCAGGGGAGCTGTCGCCATCCACTTGTGACACCGATGGAGTACTTCCTCATTCTTTTGCACGCTGCTGGAGAGTTTTATGGCATTGTAAATTAGTTAAATTAGCCTCCCCACATATGCGGTACCTAAATTTCCTACTTGACAGATGCAACTGTCTTTCAGGTTGCAAAGGTCGACAGCAAGCTAGACAAATGGTTGGGAGCTTACTCTGACCCGGGCTGGCTTCTAACTCATGACCTTTCAGTCAGTAGTGATTTTATTGCAGCTGACTCTCAACCAGTAGCGCCACAACCTAGTCCATCATCTGTATATTCTGTACAAAATATGATAACCTTAAAAAAACTCAGGATTGCAGATTGGGATACAGTTTTGAGATAAATATTAAAGTGTGTTCAGTTTTCCATAACCTTTATAATACTTGAAGATGACTGAGAAACATAGGTAAATATATGAATCTTGTTGTGAGCTGCCCCAAGTCCCCTTCAATGAGAAGGGCAGAATATTAAATAAATAAATAAATAAATAAATCTCAGACAATTTAAAGTTGTTAGAAGTTGTGGGAGTTTGGAAGAAAAGTATATTCTTTCAGATTTCCGTCAAACAATTATTATGAATAGCTATAATAATTTAAATTCTGTAGGTGGGAATCAAGAAAAAAAAAACAAAACACAGAAAAATTTAAGTTCTCTGTCAATTCCTTGAAAACTAATAGTTTGAATCAAGTTTGTTTTGTCTCTCTGGCTACTGCAGTTTCTTCTTGTAGCCAAAGCCACAAAGCGGTAGAGATGCCTTCCTTTGACTTTCTGTGCTGTATTCCAGCTCCTGTGCAAAGATCCACTGGACCGGCTGGGATGCGGAGATGCTGGTGCCCAGGAAGTGAAAGAGCACCCTCTCTTCAAACACTTGAATTTCAAGCGGCTAGAAGCTGGGATGCTAGACCCACCGTTCAAACCCGATGTGAGTTCAGTGTACGTGAATGACACAGAGGAGCCTTGCAATCTCTGTTTCAAGTTTCAACAGTAGGAGAATTAGCCTTTTGTAATACTCTTTTCTGCATTCCTCTTAGCCCCAAGCTATTTATTGCAAAGATGTATTGGACATTGAGCAGTTCTCCACAGTCAAGGGAGTAGAGCTGGAGCCCACAGATCATGATTTCTACCATAAGTTTGCAACAGGAAGTGTCCCTATTCCTTGGCAAAATGAGGTAGGTGTTCTGCTGTGTGCCAGGGAGCATGATGATCCTGAAAGGGAATACATATTGAAAGGGCCACCCATTCTTCTCAGGGATGAGGGGGGCACAAACCTGCAAAACGAATCAGTGGAGGTATTTCATACTTCACTACCTTGGATCTAGTGGCAGTAGGACACCCTTTGAATGGGGGCCCTCAGAAAACAATGCATTTTCTTCTTTTTCTAACCTCTGTATTTATTTTTCTTTTCTTCTAGATGATAGAAACAGAGTGTTTCAATGAGCTAAATGTCTTTGGTCCTGATGGCTCTGTGCCTCCTGATCTGGACTGGAAGGGACAGCAACCTACTGTGCCAAAAAAAGGTCTACTTCAACGTCTCTTCAGCCGACAGGTAAATTTTCTGATCACAAGAAAAGGAGATAGCCCATCCTGTTTTCTGAATAGTTTCCTTACAACGTTCACTTTGTTCTCTGTGCAATACACATCCTTCTATAGCTATGAGGCTGAGTCCCACATGCCAGTCCTCTGTCTAATGCAGTAGTCCTGGAACTCAAGTCCATTGACTAACAACCTCCATAAATGCTCCAGACCTTATTCTATGCAATTTTCTCCAAAGATAATCAGGTATTTCTCAATTTTGAACACCCAATAAGTCTAGAATACCTGGAACTGTTTTGGTTGTTAATCTATCACTCCTACACTTCTTCACAAAATTTTATTATGTGACGTTTTATGTGTGTTTGCTGTTGTAAGTTTATGTTGTCATCATTTCTATGTTTTTATGTTTTGTTTATTTTATGTCTGGCATTTGGAGTGCTTCTGTGAGGTGCCCCGAGTCCCTTCGGGGAAATGGTGGCAGGATGTAAATAAAGATTATTTAACTATGGCAAAACTACAGTTAGGTGGATCTGTAATTGGTTACGCAAACGAACCCAAAGGGTGGAGTGCTGCAGAGTTCCGTCCTGGGCCCAGTTCTGTTCAACATCTTTATTAATGACTTAGAGGAAGACATGATCATGAAGTCTGCAGATGACACTAAATTGGGAGGAATAGCTAGTACTCCAGAAGACAGGAGCAGAATTCAAAACCATCTGAAGAGATTAGAGAGATGGGCCAAAATTAAGGAAATGCAAGATACTCCACTTAGGCAGGAAAAAAATGAAATGTAAAGATACAGAATGGGGAACGCCTTCCTCAACAGCGGTATGTGTAAAAAGGTTTTGGAGTCCTCGTGGCCAGCAAGTTAAATATGAGCCAACAATGTCATGCAATGGCTTAAAAAGCCAATGGGATTTTGGCCTGCATAAATAGGAGTATAGTGTTTAGATCCAGGGAAGTCATGCTACCTCTCTATTCTGCTTTGAAGAGGGATGTTGACAAGCTGGAATGTTTCCAGAGGAGAGTGACTAAAATGATCAAGGATCTGAAGAACAAGCCCTATGAGGAGCAGCTTAAAAGATCTGGGTATGTTTCGCCTGCAGAAGAGAAGGCTGAGAGGAGACATGATGGCCATGTATAAATATGTGAGGGGCAGTCATAGGGAGGAGGGAGCAAGCTTGCTTTCTGCTGCCCTGGAGATTAGGACGTGGAACAATGGCTTCAAACTACAGGAAAGGAGATTCATAGGGTATTCTTAGGCAAGGAATACTCAGAAATGGTTTTGCCAGTTCCTTTCTGTGAAATATAGCCCACAGCACCTACACAAAGGAAAAGTGTATTATAGTCTCCCATTTCCCCAAAGATTTCCCATCATGTTTCATATGTACGTGAGGCATTAAATTTTGCCATAAATATGTTGGAAACCTCTTTCAGCCCCCCCCCCCCCTGAGTGTGAGAAAAGCGGCTTCAAGTAAATGTGATGAAGGACCCAGTGAGATTCTTTCTCTCTAGTCATGTAGGTTGGCTGCAATAATGATGATGATGATGATGATGATGATGATGATGATGATGATGATGTTCGACTTGTGATTTTGTGATACGAAATCCAGCATATATATCTCGTTTGCTGTGACATAAAATAATAATAATAATAATAATAATAATAATAATAATAATAATAGGTAGGTAGGTAGATAGATAGATAGATAGATAGATAGATAGATAGATAGATASATAGATAGATACGAAGAAAGAAAGAAAGAAAGAAAGAAAGAAAGAAAGAAAGAAAGAAAGAAAGATCTGCAAATACTCTGGTGATCACACTGGGGGTCTAAAGACCTTGGCCTGCACTCAAAACAATTGGTGCCGACAAAATTACCATCTGTCAGCTGCAAAAGGCCACCTTACTCAGATCTGCATGCATTATTGCTGATACATAACACAGTCCTAGACACTTGGAAAGTGTCCGATGTGTGATCAGATAAAAGCCAGCATAGTGATCTTGTTTGCTGTGTACCAATTTTGTTGTATATCTAATAATAATAATAATAATAATTATTATTATTATTATTATTATTTGCTGTGTACTCATCTTGTTGTGTTTCAAATAACAATAACAATTATTATTATTATTATTATTATTATTATTATTATTTTATTTATACCCTGCCACCATCTCCCCGAAGGGACTTGGGGTGGCTCACAAAAGCACTCCAAATGCCAGACAAAAAATAAACATCACATAATCCTAGACATTTGGAAAGTGTCCTACATGTGATCAAATACAAAAGCCAGCATACTGATCTTGTTTGCTGTGTACTAATCTTCTTATGTATCAAATAATAATAATAATAATAATAATAATAATAATACTTTATTTATACACTGCCCTATCTCCCCAAAGAGACACTGAGTTTTGGGAGCAGTTCCCTCTAGCCCAGCTAGCAGACTTTATCTTGTTGCTGGGCCGAAAAATTCCCTTCTGAGCAATCATGTCTTTTTGTAAGCCGATGGGAATGAAAATCCTGTGCCTTCTTGCCTGTTGGAATAACAACCGTACTTATGCAATGCTTGCTGTGTGCTCTCCCTTTTTCTGTTTCTTTCCTCCACCCTTCCTTATTCCCACCTCCCTTTGTTCTCTAGGACTGTTGTGGGAACTGCAGTGAAAGTGAAGAGGAACCCACTCGCCTATAGTTGCAGCCAATCTATTCTCTGCACAAGCCTGGCCAAGCCTGACTCGACCAAAGCAGTGTGGCATGGGCTCTAGCACGGTTTGTGTTTGGCTCTCCCTGTGTGGGCTCATCATTTCCGGGCAGCAGAAGACTCACCCTGCAGAGGAGACTGCCCCAGGACTAGGAAACATAGGCACTTCTAAGTTCTTCAGTGCATTGCCGAGAGATCCTCCAGCCACACCACTTCTATATCTGAAAAACAAGAGCAGGACCGAGTGAAACATTCCAGGGCTGGCCCTGGCTCTAGCCCCGGCCTTTGGCCTCCCGTCTGCTCGCCTGCTGAAGTTTGTTTTATATATTTATATTGATATATCTTTGAATGTATGTATATAGCATATGTAAATTTTTAATTGTTGGGGAAGGGGAAGGGAGGATCCTTGTGCATTTCTGCAACATCCTTGCTTAACCCCAGTGAATACTGTGCACAAAGTAACTTCTAGGAAACTCGTAAGCAGCTCTTCTCCCCAAGCATTGAATTTGGCTCTCTGGGTGTTTTCAAGTTCTCTTCTCAGAGCCATCTACTCTGGTGGTGGAAAGATGGCAGCTGAAGCACCAGAGTAGCCATCACTGATGTATCCTGTTCAGAGGGAACAGTTGGGGTGCCTTGTGCATGCATTGCTGCCATTCCCTCTGCTGCCCCCCCCCCTCCACTTACCTGGCTGACTTGCTGTGGTACCAAAATGTAATTCAAGAGTGGGGGCAACCTTTTAAGACTCCCTTTGGATTCCTAGATATGTTTGGTAAGTGACCATAGTTTTACCTGGGAAGGCAGGCTATCTGCTTTATGGTTTAGTAGGAATAGGGATATCTTAGCATGCTAGAATACAGCATAGGAGATGCCATTCCATTACCGTTGATGGTAATTTACTGGTTCTATCTTTGAATAATTTTGTAGGACTGATATGGATTCACAAGGAAAATGGGGTGTAGAGTGTTTTCCTTCTGGGAACTTCTAGATCAGCATTTCTCAACCTGGGGGTCGGGACCCCTGGGGTGGTTGTGAGAGGGTGTCAGAGTGGTCGCCAAAGACCATCAGAAAACAGTATTTTCTGTTGGTCATGGGGGTTCTGTGTGGGAAGTTTGGCCCTATTCTATCGTTGGTGGGGTTCAAAAAGCTCTTTGATTATAGGTGAACTATAAATCCCAGCAATTACAACTCCCAAATGTCAAGCTCTATTTCCGCCAAACTCCACCAGTGTTCACATTTGGGCATATTGAGTATTCATGCCAAGTTTGGTCCAGATCCATCACTGTTTGAGTGCACAGTGCTTTCTGGATATAGGTAAACTACAACTCCAAAACTCATGGTCATGCCCACATGGCCCTTGGTTATGGGAGTTCTCTGTGCCAAGACTGGTTCAATTCCATCATTGCTGAAGTTCAGAATGCCCTATGATTGTAGTTTAACTATAAATCCCAGCAACTGCAACTCCCAAATGACAAAATCAACCCCCCCCCCCCCAAAAAAAACCCCACCTGTATTCAAATTTGGGCATATTGGGCATTTGTGCCAAATGTGGTCTAGTGAATGAAAGTACATCCTGCCTATCAAATATTTACAATTACAATCCATAACAGTAGCAAAATTGCAGTTATGAAGTAGCAAAGAAAATAATTTTATGGTTGGGGGTGACTACAACATGAGGAACTGTATTAAGGGGTTAGGAAGGTTGAGACCCACTGCTCTATAGGAAAAAAAGTTGCCTTCTCTATATGACTAGGTTCCCTCCCCCCCCCCCCCAACCCAAAAGAAAGGGATTCTCCTGCCTGTCCTAGTAATAATTCTCAAAGGGATGATTAAAGGGATGCCAATTTTTGCTAATGGGGGTGCCTGTATGTATTACAGCTGGAAAGCATAACCTCTTAGATCAGAGTGCCAAACTACATGAGAAGACTGCAACTTCATTTTATTGTAAAGCTGTGTGATGGTTTTCAGAACCTGAAACAGCAGCCTTAAGGACGTAGGGTTAATATTTTCCCTGTACAGAGTTTTCCCAATCTGAATTGCACCCAGAGGTGGTTTTAGCCTAATTCTAGGGATGGGAAGTACAAGCACTGTATATTCAAATGCAGGAAAGCAAACTGTAGCATATGCTTGGCCCGGTATCAAAGAGAATAGTAAAAGTGAAAACATGGGAGAAGCATTCAAAGACTGGGCCTCTTTGCCTCCGAAGAATCTTCCGCTGTCTTCCATGACTGGGAGCTCAGGTCCTGAGCAGGGCTGCTCTCAAGAAGCTCTGCCAAGCAGGCCTGTGCCACTCCTGCTTGTTACTTGGACTTGAAGGTTTTCCAGCCTTGACCTTTCCCTTTTTCCATGTCTAGCATGTGTGTCTTCACTCTCTCCGCAGCTCTTTCCAAACACGTGCCATGGGGGCTGCTTTGCTGCAGGGTGGTTGCCTTCATTTCCCAATTCACCTGTGGTACCTCACGCTAGTATTGCACTGTTGTTGTTCATGTATGGAACTGTTGGATTTTATTTGTTAGTTGTGAGTACTAAGTAGTCGTTGCCGTGGCGCAAAAGCAAATGCCTCACCAAGTGCTGACCTGCCTCATCCCAGTTCTGAGTCTGGAGCATTTGCCAGTCTGACTCTGGAAGGGAGCAGCCTCTCTTCATTACTTCAGTGGAGCAGATAGAGACTTCGTTGCAGCCTTTCACTTTTGACAGACTGTTGCTCTATTCCTCAATTACACGTCAATGTATCTTTCCTGCCTTGCATTGGAACTTCTATTTGAACACAATAAGCTATTTGAGGTGTCTTAAGTGTGTGTGTCTTTTGTTTTCCCCCTGTCATCTTTCTTGTTTCTGCTTCTTTTCACTGCATTCCTCCTTTAAAGAATTCTTCATTAGCTCTGGCCAATCCAAGACTGAATCTTTAGTGGAGGATGCTATGTATGAATGTAAGTATCTCCACCCTAAGTAATATCCTAGAACCAATTCCTGCTTAGAAAGTAGTGTTTCAAAATGGGGAAAGTACTGCAACTGTGAATAGAGCATAGGAAAATTTAATTGGCTTCTTACGAGGGGAAGCAGTTCTGTTTTGTCTGGCATAGTGCCCCATCTTTACTCCTGTATGCCATTTACACTTGGTATGTGTCAGTGTCCTCAAGTCCATTTTATACAATTTTTAAAATGTGCTATTTATGTCCATGGTTTGTTAAATGTGTGTATTACAAAAATGTCAGTGAAAGGGACTGTTTCTATTTTTTTCGTGTCAGGAGCGACTTGAGAAACTGCAAGTCATGTCTGGTGTGAGTGAGAGAATTGGCCGTCTGCAAGGACATTGCCCAGGGGATACCTGGATGTTTGATGTTTTACCATCCTTGTGGGAGGCTTCTCTCATGTCCCCACATGGGGAACTGGAGCTGACAGAGGGAGCTCAACCTGCTCTCCCCAAATTCAAAACACTGACCTGTTGGTTAGCAGTCCTGCCAGCACAAGAGTTTAACTCACTGCGCCACGGGATGCTCCAGAATTTAGCTTAATAAAGCCAGTCAAGTGTTGCTAGAAAGAATTGACACTTTCCCATCAGGTTTTGGATTATGGAATATTCCCTCCCAATAGTGTATGTGTATGCAATTAACAAAGAGAATTTAAATATACATATCAAGAGAAAAGGCTTCTTCCTTTAGTTGCCAATGATGAAAGTGAAAGATAACTTTCATCTTTGCCAACTCAAGAAGGCGGAAATTGCAACGCTTTACTCTTGATAAGTATATTGATGTTATCTTGGTTAATCTCCGTATAGATCTCCACTGGTTAAACTGCATCATTGCCTCATTCAGATCTGTAAGGAGTGGTCTGAGCTGATGTAGAGCATTTTCCTGTTTATCTTTGTAAGTATATCCGCTCTCCTCTATCTGGCAAGGGCTCTCTGGTGTCTTAAACAAAGAGGTCTTTCCAATTGTCTGCTACTACATGTTTTTAACTAGAGGTGTCAGGGCTTAAGCCTGGGATCTTCTGCAGATTTTCTGTAAAAGAGCTGCCACCATTTTCAGGTTGGCAGTCTCCCCAACTAGGAAATGACATTTTTTGTTAAATGACAGTTTCTTGATTTGGTACAATTAGAGTTCTGGTTTAAATACTTGATAGGTGTGTGATCCTCTCCTTTCGACCTATCTATAGTTTCTGTGGCTGAATAATTATGCTTCTAAGTTTAGGAGCTGCTGAAACCAGGCCTGTGTTCAGGTTTTACTTTCAATTGCCAAAGCCTTCTCCTCCCACCCCGCTGCCCCTTGTCTTTTTATCTGGTCTGTCCCTGTGTTTTTCTTTCCCTCACTGCTATTTAAGGGCATTTTCCCCCATACATAGGCCTTCTGGGGAGCTTTGTAATTTTCTACCTTCTAGGTTCTAAGTTGTGTGCATTTGTGCCTGCTTCGCAGCAGTGAACAGATATATAATCTCAGATGAGATCAATGGTGCAAATATATACTTTGAAGAGTTGCAAATTGGAACACGCTATTATCTACTTTCATTGTCCGGGCCAAAAAAAAAATGTTTCATAAAATCTTTCTCTCCCCTGCTTACTCTCAAGTGGAACTCCAGGAATAAAAATACCTCCTTCAGAAATGATTGCTGTGTGCCCTATTCATAAGTATAGTAACAATCACAAACATGCTTTGAAAGTATAATTCTAGCATCTCTTAGAAATACAAGGTTTGTGGATCAGATATTTCTTGTTGGAGAGGAGCATCAACTTTAGTTATGTTGGGCTGAGATGCAACTGCATTATGTTGAGGAATACAGTGTAATGTGTGTGTGAAATGCCTGAAAGGTGAGATGTCCAATTTGCTGTTTGAACGTTTTAGAAATACAAGTTAAACATTAATATGTTTAGCCTTGCTGAAATCCATGAAGCACAGACAAACTGCTTTACAATGATGACATTTTAGTAGTTTTTGTAAAACGCTAATGTCACAACCTCACATACCCCCATGGTTCATATGGCATGGCCTCTGCCTTTCTCCCCATGCTTGACATCATATTCCCCTCCTACCATTGACCTTTCTCCTAATGATGGGACCCAAGATGGCTAACAACATATTTAA